CCCAGTATAGCTTCTCCACTCTTCAGTTTTTACTTTTTCCTTCTGGAACTTTTATTAGACATATGTTGGCACCACTCAATAGAACCCCATGGATCTTAACTTTTTTTTTTCTCATATTTTTTATATCTCTTTATTATTCTATACTATGTTCTGGGTGAATTCTTCAATACTTCCCTTTAATTCATTGCCTTTTCAACTTTGGCTAGATCCAGAGTTAATTCCACTTATTGACTTTTTCATTTTAATGATCACATTTTTATTTTCAAGATTTCTATTAGTTCTTTTTCATATTTACCTGCTCTTAATTCAGCTCGTTATCTGTTCCTTAATTTCTTATCCTTTTAAAATGAGTGCTATGCCTTCATTTGTCACTTTGAGAATGCAAAAAAAATTTTTTTAACCTTTGTCAAACAGTTCCATAGAGTTAATGTTATCTGGAGTAAATTCATGTTCTGATTGTTCATTTTGTTGGCCTTCTTTCTTAGTATTAGATATCTGTATGTGTTTGGAACTTGGTGGCGAGGCTCATGTTGAATGGGGAGTTTTTAATTTGCTTTTTTCTGTTTCGTTTTAGTTTAGTGGTGTGTTTTTCCCCTTACCCACTCTGTGCTCACCTTTCCGTATTCAGTGATTTTTGCCTCCACCTGCCTCTCTGGACCTCCATTCTATAATTGGGTCTAATGTTGGCATTTTGATGCTCCTACCCCACAGTGATGTTGAGGATATCACAGAACCAGTCACGTGGCCAACCGCTTGGTTTGGTTCCTGACTCCAAGGCCCTGTCTTTGTTGTTCTGCTTCCCTAGGCAGTGGGTTGGCAGCTGTTTACTTCCAGCCTCCTTTCACAAGGTCCTGACTTCGAGAACTAAGCCTGGCTCCTGTTCACCTTGTTTGGAGCATCTTTAGTTCCAGTCACCCTGTAGCAGACAAAAATCTTGGCTTTCAGAACAGGTCCTCTGGGGCCCTGTGGCTTCAGGCTTGCTAAGCTGTTTCAGTTTCACTTCTGATCTATGAAAAGGTTTATTTTGTTTTTGAGCCTGCTTATGTCTTTTTGGTTTTCTCTTTCTATATTTTAGCTATCATTACTATTTGTGTGCAATAAAGGATGTAGATCAAATTATGATTTTCCTGCACCAACTTGAGCAGAAATCTTTCTGTTTACCTCTCTGGCTTTATCTCTCACCGTCCCTCTACAATCTGTGTTCTAGCCATAGCTAATTACTTTAGATGATCAATAAATGCACGTTCTTCCTCCTCCTCCCTCCCCGCACAATATTTGGATGAAATAAGACATCGAAGATAGTCAAGTGGAGGTTTTTTTTTTTATGTGTCACATTTATTACAGATCAGTTAATAAAGAACAAAGTTCTAGATCTGTAACCCAAAAGAGCTTGCTAACACTCTGCCAACTCTCAACCAGCATGGAATTCAGCCTGAGAATAACCCACCACAGGGGAAGCTTGGGTCTGTAGAGCAGACACGTTTACTCAAGATCATTGTCTGCACTGGTCTGGGGCAGAAAGGGAACAAGAGAATGAATCCTCAGTAACTGGGGGTCTTTTCACAGATTAGCTCCATCCAGTCAAGAACTCTGAGCTGATGAAAGTAATGGCGCTCACCAATCAAGAAACTCACTTCTGAGTGTGAAGGAGCCAAAATCACATTCTAATGAAATACCCTTCCTACCCCTGCTCCCTGGAAAAATGGGGCTGGGGAAAGTCGGCTCCCCTAACACACACCCTGCTCTTCCTCTTTCATCCCAGCCTTTCACGGATTCTTCCCGCCCCTTTCACCTACCAACTCCTCACTCATCCTGATGCCTATAATAAAAACAGTAGTTAATAGTTACTGAATCTCAACTATGGGGGAAGCCCTACCACATACATTATCTCATTTAATCCTCATAACAACCCTATGAGGTATGCATTTTTATTTTAATCTTAGGGATAAAGAAACTAAGCTAGGGAAGTTTTCTAAGATCACACAGGTAAATGGCAGAGGTAGGATTAGGCCCAGGGTTCTCTAGCTTCCAAAAAGCCTAGATTTTTCCATCATATCCAGCTGCTTCCCATATTTTATTCATCTTCAGATATCTAGAACACAGCATAGCACCTGGCAGAGAATAGATGCTCAATAATATTTAATGAATGAATATATAAATAAATGAAACATTCTCAAGCTTGCCCTGAATGGCTTAAAAACAGCTTTAATATGAGAGTTTATAAAGAATGCTTAACTTCTTTTGTTGTCAGATTGCTCTTTATAAAGGTGGATATGAGCATCCAGTTTTGAAGGTGTCTAGAGGAGCTGCTAGGCTCTGCTATCACCTCTGTCCAGCCCTTTCAATTTTAGGTCATCCCCCCCGGGTGCCAAGAAGACAGTCGCTCCGCTACCCGACTTTTGTCCCTGGCCCAAGCCTATTGGCCACCTGAGAGGGTGGGTTCCTCTGGTCCTTGAGCCTTTACACGTGTAGAACTACTGATGCTTCACGTACTACTGGTGGCCATAACACCTCTATGCAAAGACACGCCGAGTGTTAGCCACGACTCTTTACACTGCAGGCCACAGAAACTAACGGACTGGAAAAGAAATGTAGAGGCTTGTAACTGAGACGTTCACAGGATGAACTAGCCATAGATATGCCTAGACCAGTGCAGAAACAGATTTACTGTGAGCCCAGTGAAGCTTAGGCTTCTGAGTTTCTCATTGCTTGGCTCTGTCTTAGGCACTGAGAGAGGCCCTAGAAATATAGTTACACAGTCATATGTTCTTCTAAAAGTTGTAAATTTCACTTTCCCAGTTCAAGAGTGTTGGGGGATTACGGCCAGGCACACTATATATTGGAAGGGTAAAGCACAGAAGAGGTCTGAGTAAGTGGCAGGGAAAAACAGCTATGCGTGCCTGTGCCTATTCTGCTTCCTAGGTTGGAACACGACCCTTCTCTCCTCTGGGTTAATTAAAGGCTCAGCTCAGGTGGCACTTGATCCTGGAACCTTCCCTGACACACTCCCAACCCCCTCCCCTCACCCTTGCTGCTTCAGTGTTCCCATGAGCCCCTGGGGCTTTATTCTAACAGCAAGCACTCTTCCTGTCTTGTAATTGTCAGTACTCATCTGTCTCCTCCCATCAGACTGTGAGCTCATTGAGACAGGGATTCTGACTTATTTCTCCAATCTCTAGCACCTAGTAGAGGGTTTGTCACACAGTAGTCCTTCAACAGAGGACTTTTATAAACAAGCAAAAGGGCCTGAAATACTTTGGCTCAGAGAAACAGTTGAAACGTTTTGGGCTTTGCTGACTTTCACGGAGCAGACTTGAGAGTTTCAGAACATTGAACTTCAGCTTCCCCTGACCTCTGAAGAAAAATAGTTCAGCTTCCCCTGACCTCTAAAGAATGCAAGAGTGGAAGGAGCAAGGCTAAAGCTTGCTCTTTTTTTCCGTACACATTGTCTGCATTTCCTACATTTCTTTACACATGGTCATGTCTGGTATTTTCTCCAACGTCTTCCTTGGATACTTTGGGAACTTGTTGAAACTAAGAAGAAACAGGTTATATAAGAAAACCGAAAGCCTCTTTTTGATACCAACTGTATGTTTTTTTCTCTAGCATATGACTCCAGTTTCACTTAGCACAGAGCTAGAAGGCATGTAATAGGTGTTAAAATTGTTTCGATAATGGAAAAGCGAATATTTGATTGAACAAATACAAGTAATTTTTATATGGCAGTACATAAGTGGATCTCAGTAATGGTCCTATAAATCTGAAAATATGCAGGGGTAGATTTCGTTTTGTTAGAAATTTAATAATTCTAATTTCCTAAAATACAAATTAATTTACATGGATTTGTAAAAGGGAAATCACTACTTTGTGGCCACTCTGGAATCCTGTCTATACCTTTGATCAAAGCATAACTACCCATTGAAGATGACAAATTCTCTTTAGACTCTAGAATAAGATCTTTCCCTTTTGCATATACATTTATTTCATGTATTCTGTTTTCTGTTGATTGACCCACCTGCGTGTTCACCTTGGTATGACTGAGTCTACTTATTTGAAATCTGACTTTAACTTGCTCAAGTACCAGTTTCTTTAAAATTATTTAATTATAAAAGTAACAAACAGAACACGGTGGGAAAATCACATGTAATACCAACATCTTAACACAACGGCTATAATATTTTTCAAATATTCCCTTTTGATCTTTTTATATGCACATTTTATTTACTTGTAAATCATAATTTATGAATAAATTTGCAATTCGCTTTAAAAACCCCCAGCAAAGCATCACTGATTCTTTTAAAACTCACTTGAGATAGACCTAGTCTCTAGAAGACCGCACACACACACACACACACACACACACACACACACTTTAATGCTGGAGTAGTATTATAATAAAGTAACTGATAGCATCAATGGCCTTAGAATCACCTACTGCATTTGGACATCTGCAATAACCCCGAATTTAAATAATGTTTTTACTCTCCTGAAGGAGAAGTGAATTTTGCAAAGCAGGCAAGGGCAATAAAGAGGAAGGCACATGCAAGCCTTCTCCGCTGGTGAATAGGTTGAGCCTGCGTAAGTCACACTTGTCAACTATGATTTCAGGTTTCATGTGATTGATATCTCTGTGGTTGATGATTTGGTGTCAACCTAGACATTACTTTTCAAGACTCTTATAACTTGCTATTTGAGGTCAATATTGACTTTCCTTTTTCATGGAAAATAATGACCTTGAAAGTAGAAAACCAAAGTATTTCTTTTTCTTTCAGATTAGAAACCTATTCATAATATTGACACATTTTAAAAAGACACAGTGAGAAGGCAGGGAGTTTCTTACATCTGCTCCTCACACGTGTGCAACAGAAATCTCTTTGGATTGGGTATTCTATTGCCAGCCTGACTGGGTGAACTCGTGAGAGCTGGCCCTTAACATTGTATGTCTTTATTTGGTGAAGCTGGGTCCGTGACAATGACTTCTTTTGTCATATGGTAGGTAGTTAGATATGCAGAGCTTCTGGAAATTGTGCATACTGGAATGTACTTTGAATTGTGCCAGTGAGCATGAGGATATTCTGCAGGGTTTTGAATCTAAACTGACTCCCCCACCCCCGCCAGTTAAGGGCCTCCTTTCCGATTCCCACCCATCAGTGAGGATGTGTGGAGGGGATGACAATATTAGAATAAAAGAATCCGGAAGCGAGAATATATATGTATTAGAAAGAATTTTCTGGACTTAATCACAACAGAGTTCTCAATCCTGTGGATAACAGAATGCACTCAGATTGCTTTTAAGCCTGAATTTACACAATACTTATGTCTTTTGGGGTTTTAGCACCTCCTCGCTCACAGTTAGCATCTCTTTTATGGGAAGGTAGTGGTGAGGAGTGTGAAGGGGATGACGGGTACGGACACTGAACCAGGAGGCTGCTGTCACATAGGCTGCCGTCAGATTGCTCGGAGAGGGAACCTAGTGGAAAGGGCAAGGTCGCCATTTTATCTTTAACACAGAGCCTGGCACATGGTGACCGCTCAGTATTGATGAATCGAGCGCCCAACTACGTGCACTCGGGTGACATGGAAGAAGTTTGAGATCCTGCCGTTGCGCCCTAGGGACAAGTCTATATTGAAGACGAGACTTCCACAGAGCTAGATTAAAGGTTTAGCCTCAGCCCGTCAGAGCCCCTTAATTCCAACACCCCGTAACTGCAGTGAAACCTCCGCGACCCGAGCCCTCCTCCGTCTCGCCCAAACGCCGGTGCATCTCCCGAACGGACGATGCCAGCGCGCCTGGCACCGGCGAAGTCACCACCGAAGCGCGGACGGACGGACGGCGGCGGC